GGTCGGGACCCAGAGTATAGGGAAACAGACGTAACTGTCAGAATGAAAGATGACGAATAAGTAAAACAACAGTATTTCTGTTTCACTGTACACCTTTTGATATTTTTTTGTGTATTTTGTTGTTCTATACGAGGCACTGAATATCGACAAGCAGACGGTACAGCATTCGCGCCACTGACTTCTATTCTGGGCCATTTCTCTCAGCGTCTCTAACCAACGACAATCCTCATCTCTCCGGACCCAACCTGGAGGACCGGCTGCACCAACCGAAGCCAAAGCTGAAGCCACCTTCTTCATGCCTCTAGTCCATGTCATGGTCTGAACGCCGCGCAGCTCCTTCCAGCCTTGCCCGGCACGTGCAAAGAGAGCAGATGCAGAGAGAAAGGTAGTCGATAGGCAGGCATACGCATACATGACCAAGTCATCGGAGACGGTGTAGAGCGATTACTTCTGTCAGAGAACGACTATTCACACCCAACACACGACGATAAACCTCGTCATTGCTCACCCAACGCTTCGACTAGACACGAACAATGCTTTGGAGACATCGGTGGTCAAATACAGAAAGTCGATTAGCATCCTCAACGCGTAGGAGCTAGGTATCTTAACTCAAGTCGATTAGTTGAGCTCCTCGCACGCATCCCTGATCGGATTGGAGACCGCGCCCACACCTTTGACCTCATTTTCACATCCATTCCCTCTTCCTTCACCAACATCACTTCCCATTCCCCATTAGGCTCTTCGGACCATTGTCTCATTTACTTTCTCACTCATTTCTCTCACACCATTTTACCACCGAACTCCAGACGCACCTTTTGGCATTACGATTCAGCAAATTGGGACGGTTTTCGTGACTTTCTGGCTTGTTATCTCCGGAAGAATTGTTGTTTTAAATCGGATGTTTCCAAGTCTGTTTCAAACTTCACGGAGATTATTCCTCAAGGTATGTATCTTTATATTCCACACTTCTCCAAACCGCGATCCCCTGAGTGGTTCAATTATGCTTGCAACTGTGCTTTACGTTTTAAAAACTCAACATTCCTTCGTTCGCGCCACCCACTCATTCCAGCATCCCGCAACCGCCTCGTGCAAGCCAGAAACAAATGCTCGGTCACTATTCAAAAAGCTAAAGAACGCTTCATTTGTCACAATGCTGCGCACTCCGCCTCTTCCGCCACCGGTAGCCGAACATTCTGGTGCCCCGCGTAAATTCTACCCTTCCAACTTCCTCTCATTTGCAATTCCTCTGGTACTCTTGTTTGCGAACCCCACGAAAAAGGAGAGGTCTTTGCTTTCATGTTTGCCTCCAACTACACCCTATCTGACAACTCTCCTCCTATACATCCAATCACTCCTTTCTACCGATCATAACAACCAGAAAGGTTCATCAAATTCTTCGTGGTTTGGATGTTTGTAAACCACCCGGTCCTGACGGTATTGCACCTATCGTCCTAAAAATGTGTCCTCATCATCACTGTACAGCGTAATACAGTGCAGCAAACTTCACTGATCGCTACCAAACTCATATTGCATACAAGTAAGTGAGAATGTGTAAGGAGAGCAGGGATTGTACCTATTCTTAGGGACGGGAAAAGAAAGNAAGTGAACCTCTATGGTCAACACACAGAGTACACAGTTCAACTGTGCATACATACCATTTCAAGCATTCTGGTCTGATAAGAAGTGACAGCAAGCTCGCCATTGCTGTCGGTTCGCAGCCATGGCCTTTAGTGTCTCCGTTCTAGTAGATGGATTCCTATCTCGGCCATTTCTTGTGAACGCCGATGTCCCCCAAGGTTCCACAATTTCACCCACCCTCTTTGTTTTATTGATCAACGATCTTTTATCCCAGCAACTGCTTTTCAGATGATGCAACTCTCTATTGTTCTATTTCTGACCCCACATTCCGTTAAGCTAAAACCAACATCGACCACGATCTTAATGTCATTAGTGCTTATCTTGCCTCCGATCCCGGACTCATCTCCGTATGGGATTCTAACAACCATGTGTGTTTCAATGCTTCCCAAACTTCTCTCCTCTCCATCTATCTTAAACGTGCTCCCAATTCTCCTCAATTGATTTTTGACTCTCTGCTCCTTCGCTCCACAAAGTCTCTCCCTTCTGGATTTATCCATAAATTCTTCTCTCGATTGGGACTATTATATTTCTACACTTACCTCTTACGCTGCGTGCAACATCGGTTTTATATTCCGCGCAAAGCGTTTCTCCACACCCAAGCACCTTCTTTTATACAAAGCTCAAATCCGCTCGATTCTCGAATACTACAGTCACGTAGGGAGTGGAGCTTCATATTCCGTTCTTTCCTCGACCGTGTTCAACATAAGGCCATCCGGATGATCGACGAACCGTCTTTAACTTCCAACCGGCAGTCGCTTTTTTCCATCGCCTGGCAGTTGCTTCGTTATCTCTTTTCTATCGTTACTATTTTGGTTTCTGCTGTTCTAAACTCACCTCAGCGGTTCCCATTCAATTGATCTTTTACTCTCCATCCGACAAATGTGCTCACACAATTAACTTTTATTATACACCCAAATGCAATGAACCGCATATATCTACAGTCCAGTTTCGACAATCGGCAACACAAATATCCAGTGAATGTAGTAGCGAAGTACATAAGGACCCAACGGGTTAGACGTGATCCTGGGCAGCGTGACGGCAAGGTAGCCTACTACCAGAGCGAGGTGGTGGTGGCGCGATCTGAACCTATGATCTTAATGCTAAGATATCATTCATTTATTCAACACGTAGCCAATTACAGAGAACTGACGAATGTGCCACAACATATGAACAGGAAGAAATGTGAAGATGTTCATAGGTTGTGTGGGCATGTTACTTCCCGGTTGTCCTGGTCGAGGAAAGGGGATAACCTCAGGGTCCCCACCCGAAACCTTTGGCTAGAAAGCCAGACCGGCAGGACAACAGGACGGAGCTTAGAGTCCGCAGTCCATTGGAGGTCGGTGTACAGTGAATTGGGTCATACGCCCTTTGGACGGGAGTCAGACGTCCAAGGTGCCCAATACACCTTGATGCCCAATTGAGCCGGTGACCACTGCCACGATCAGGAAGGTGTACGTGTGGCTCGTACGCCCCTTCTCGGTTGGTTTCGAATCAGGGTTTTTAGCCAACTCCCTTAGGTGAACTACCAATGGTTCATCAACCCGGTTTTAGCCCCGGATGTCGGTTTTTCGTCCTATCATTTCGGTGGGGAAACACCTCCGCCTTGGGAAAGCAGTGAGTTGGGCTTTCTCAGCAGAGGCTATTTGAGACGCTCGGTCATGTAGAAGCATTTCTCAAGGTGTAAGGGAATGGTGACCAGTCACAATCCCATATACCCACCCCGACCATACTGCGGGTTTCGGATGCTAAGATAAGATATGATCGATTAAAGTCTGTGGTTGAGACGAAAGGAGAGAGTTCAATGTTGTTTCTTGCAGGAGAAGTTGGCACCTGAAGGGAACAATGTGTCACTTCGGTAAAGTTGAAGTAGCCGATATCTACCGTCTATCCGATTGGCTAGGATTTTATATGGGTGTATGTTTGTTTCAGATTCGTCCAGGGATCTCACTTTAGCACTGAAGTTACAAGAGATCACTAGGATGTTTGTTGAGCAAACACTGGAACAGTCGAATGTGATCAGTATCGAAATCATCGTTTGTTTCAGGTTCATTTCAATCAATCAGTACAGGGGAACGACGAATAAGTAAGGACGCTTGGTTCCGTTGCTCCCGACACGTACCATACTACCATCGAGACAACGTACAGGCAGCTATTACGTCGAATCCAATTAATATGCAAGGGCTCAGCTTTGACACTTAGCGCAATCCCGATGCCAGCAGTACCACAAGTGTGTGATGCCAAATCAACCGAAACACGGAGAATACACCGGTAATATTATGCTGGATCTTTTCTTATTGCATGCATTTTCCGGCGATGAACAACAGACGATATGAACCCCATGGTTGTACAGACCTGCTATTCAGTGATAGAAACCGACAACCGGATGGCAAACTATATGAGGCGTGGTACTAAACCGCACAAGAGCAAAGTTCACTCACTACCACCAAAGTTGAGTGGTGGCGGTGGCGGTGGCGGCGAGGTTTCCATTTCGGACCATAAGGTTAAAAGCACACCGATGACAGCGAGTCAACCAGAGCACCAGCATCATCCTGAAAAAGGCAGTGTGTTAACTGAAGCAGGGTGCTGCGTGCGTTTCGGAAACACGGCATAAGGCTAAAAATGAAAACGTCACGTTTTCAAGCTAAGGCTCAGTGTTGATCGATTTGATAGTGTGCGGACAATGAATGTGACCAAGTAAAAAGAACTAAGTTGTGAGTGATATGTCCAGAGTGACAGAAACAAGGGGCAGGTTGTATAATTAAAGGGGAAGAAAGAGAAATAACTAGACAGGTAAGTCAATCAGATAACTTGGTTGAGAGCATTTAACTAAAATTTAATCTGATTTGCAGCGCAATAGTTCAACAAGGAAAGAAACAGGATTGTTCTTCATACCTGAAGTTTGGCAACGAGGTCGTTGATTTTCCGATGAAAAGAAATACTGGGTTGGTAGTCACAAACAACGATCCCGGCTTCTCGGCAATGATCAATAATACTCTCAATCGATTCTTCCAATGCTTCAAAACGATTCCGTTCTGTCATTTTACGCGCAATCAATCAGGAAAAACTGTAGAAAAAAAGGAATCAAGTAAAATAGTTCTTTGTGGCATTGTCCGGGCAGAATGCGACAAGGATAATGGTGGTATTTTGTACAACGATTGCGATGCAAGTGCAATTCAGATACATATATTCATCACCGAAAATGATTTATCCTACCTCCCGTATGTTGGCATCCAATACTGGCTCGTATTTGAACGTAAGATCAGATGAATTGCCTCTTCACATGCACACACGCCCAAATCGCACTACTCGTATTAAACTCGCATTGGCTGTTTCTTCGAACAATGATATCTGCCTATTGAATCAGTGACAGGACCGCTTTTGCCTGTTGACCTTTCAATGATTTTGTTGTTCTCTTCTCGTCACAGAGTTGTAACGTGTTTTCTTTCAGTGCCTGTATTATTTATATTTTTCACATACTTCTGAGTTCAGACTGCGTGTCAAACAAACCACGGTACAATAATCTTTATAAAAAGAAAAAAGGACAATGATTTGCACGAGCACGCGATACTGCTTGGTTGCACAGGCCTAAGTAGGTGAATTTTCTTAGGGAATTCACAACCGGAGTCTCCGGTTAACCAAAGCCTGACCCCCAAGTCAGCGGAGCGATGTGTGAAAACCGCAAACCATTGGGGGCCAGCGTCCAGTTCTACAGACCATATGCCCTTTGGACGGGGTCAAACGCCCAAGGTGCCCAATATACCTCGATGCCCGATCGAGTCGGTGACCAATGCCAAAACCGGGAAGGTGTATGTGGTTTAAAAACCTCCTAATGGTTGGTTTGAAATCAGGGATGTTGG